CTGGGGTGGAACCATTTAATCGGCTCCACCGCCCTGCAATGGGAGAGTAGCTTCCGAAAATCAAGCCTCAGTAGGAATTGATCTGACCATGACAAGGGCGAGATCTCTATGCCCTTCAGATCCATATCACGTCTCCACTGCCCCGAGAGAAAGACAAGGTTGAGCGTGTGTGCCACTATATGAGTCGGACCCTGAATTACCTGGGTCAAGTCCATGGTTGTCATGGAAGCCATGAACTCCTGAACCCCATCCGAGCGTTCGCCAAGAGATGGCAGGTTGAAGTCCCCCAGTACTATCAGTCTGGGGAATTCAACCGCCAGTCCGGCTACTGACTCAAGGAACACAGGCAGGGATGTTGTAACGCAACTGGGAGGTAGGTACGTTAGAAACAAGCCCACTTGACCCCCTAGGTCCAGCTTCACCAAAAGGGACTCACACCCGACAGTCTCCGGAGCAGGGATCCCACGAGGGACTAATGACTCTCGGATGATGGCAGCCATTCCCCCACCCCTTTCTCTGGTGTCGTGGTTGGTGGAGCACCTGAAATCCTTCTGGACACATTTCTGAGAGGGGGACTCCTCCCTCGTGGTCCAGCCAAGTTTCAGTAATACATGCCAGGTCTACCCCCTCATCTAATATTAAGTCCCAGACGAGGGGAGCTTTATGAATCACAGACCTGGCATTTAACAACAGCAACCTGAGACCAGGGCCCTGACATCTCCTGCCACCTGGTCCTTGAGTTATCAGGGTCGGAAGGAGGAATCGCTGTGACGTAGTGAACCCTCCTTCCCCGGTAATGGCTAGCCCTGTAACTCCCGTCGTATCTGCCTCTCCCAAATGTAATCGGGATGCTCCGGCCCGTCCCCATCACCGTAGACCCCTCCTCCCCTCCCACGGCCCCCATTCTCCCGGCAGGCCATTCAAACCATGCACTCTGGGATGAGAGGCAGATCCGGGCCCCCATCCACTTCTGCTTCTGCACTCAGTGGAGGGGGTTCCAGGCCGCGCTCTCAGTCCCCTCATATATACCAAACAGCCATTCTCCACATGCATATCCCACTACAATATTAAAACATATAGGTACAATAAAAACAGGATATAAAAATTAAGTTAATTAAAAAGTGGGATCATTCATCTACATACATACCACAAACATTCCACATACAAAAAGGGTTCACGCAGATATTAATAATTGTGCAGGTAACTCTTGAAGTTCGAGATAGCTGAGCACCAACGGTGGTATACAGGTGGTATACAGGTGGTATACAGGAGAGTGTCTCGTTTCCCCCCCCCCTCTCCTGAATACTTGGAAAGGTATAACAGAAGGGTCCAAAGTTCGGGGTGGCCGAGGCAGATTGAAGAAGAGTGGGGGGGGGGTACATCAGTTGGAAAAACATTAAGTCCCCACCCGTATTTCCGCCATCTTCCATCGCTCCTTCCGCTGAACAAATGCACCAAGGAGCAAACTGTAGGTGTTACCGTCAAGTCAGAGGGCCTCCACACTCGCTGTAAGTGCCCCCACCCATCCAAAGTCCATGGCGCCGTAATAAGATGACTTGAGTGGGCGCTATCCGAGATGGTACCCCAGGGGCAGTGGCGGGTGGCAATGGTCGAAGCATATGGGGCTGAGACGAGTGGCCTATTTGGCCTCCCTGGCTTCCAGTAGCACTCTGCCAGCCAAAAATGGACCACACGAAGGCCCCATGAGGTCCCTGCATGCCTCCAGCAGTGCTCTGCCAACAAAAACGGGCTGCGTGGGGGCCTTGGGGACCCATTTTGGCCAGCAGAGGCACTGCATGCCGGCTCCATGGGCTGGATTTAAGCACCCCATGAGCCAGATCCAGCCTGCAGGCCTTGAGTTTGACACCCCTGTTCCAAACCATTCCTTCTTACACATAAGCTGGCCTATCCTCTGTGTATTCTCTTATTCCTGACAAATGTTAAAAACAGCACTTGGTAACCAAAGTTTGTCCCCCTTTATACTATAGGAATTACCTTAGTGAAGACAGCTAATGGCATACCATACTGATCTTCTTCCAAACCAGAAATAAGTCCAGGTACAAAGGCTGTGTGCCCTGTATTAGGTTGAGGCTGAACAGTAATTGGAACACTTTTGGAAATAACTGACTCCTTCAGAAGAAATTCAGTCTGTCCTGCTACTGAAGTAATTTCACATTCTCCTTCTTTCAAGTTAGGGTCCTCAAGGGGATTAGGATCTAAGGTTTCCCAGTCACCTTCAGAAGATTCTGCAGAAGTGTGTAAAGAAGGTTTCAAGTATTGTTCATGATCCTGGCAGCCATGAAATTCACTGGATTGATGCTCAATTTGAAATAAAGGTACATCTGCTCTCTGAGTATCTCTTTCTTGGTTTCTTGACAATTTTTTGCCTTCTCCAACTGTATCAAAATTAGCATTTGAAAGTGCCAGAGCAGAAAAAGAAACACAGTAACTGGAAGTAGGTGACACTTCTTGTCCAACTTCCTCTGATGTGCTTTTTCTTGGTCGGTACTGTGAGCAATCCATTAAACCATGTTCTATCATACCTGGAATTTATTTAAAAAATTATAAATGCGATTAATAGATTCTATATAGGAGCAATTACCAATTTATATTGGAAACTATGCAAAGATGAAAACTACAGTTAATTGCAAATATACAACACATCCGTGATTCTTTCTAGTCTTTCAGAAAGTTATTTTTCAATGAAGTACCATATTTTTGGAGTGTAATATGCAGCTTAGTTTTTGGGGAGGAAAACCGGGGGGGGGAGAGAATTCTGTCTATCAGCTATTCATTTTTATTCCCATAACACCAGAAAAGCAAGCAAACACAATAGTATAATAAAACAACACTTTTTGCCACTTTTTTTCTTTCCCCAGGTGGCCAGGAAAACTCTTAATAAGCTTAACTAGATGTCTGGGCTTTCAGCCAAAAGCACTTCACATCTGTAAAAATGTAACAAAGCTGAATCAACAAACTAGCCCAGCGCTTGCCTGAAGGAAACCATTGAGAAAACTCAGATAGCCCATAGGAAAAATCTCTGCCTTGTCCTTAAAGGGACTATCCCCAAAAGAACAGAAATCACTTAGTCACAGGAACTCTCTGCTTTGCCCTTGAGAGGATTATCTCCCCAAAATAGAAACTGGACAAAAGAAAGGCAGTCTTCAAATCTTTCATCCTCAGCTTCTCCCAGCTGGAATAAACCAGGAAATTTTTCCAACAGTATGCTGCAGTAAAAATATTCAAAGCTTTTTTTCAGCTCTAATGAGGTGCTAACGGGTGAAGCAATCTTCTGATCTTCAGTGAACTCGTTAGCACCTCATTAGGGCTGAAAAAACGCTTCCAAAAAGCTACATTCAGAGTATAAGATGCACCCAAAATTTTAGTTTCTTTTAGGTGGGGGGGAGGTGTTATACTCCAAAAACATGGTAAGTAATTATTGGTGTAATTGAGTAGGTATAGCAGAGTTTGGAAATAATTTTAATGAAGCAACATAAGAATTGTTGTAAGAGTAATCCTTTATTCTTTCTAATTTTTTTCTCCAAAATTTGTAAATTTTGCAGTTTTCCTTTAACAACCAAAATATTTTGTGGACAGAGTGATGACTGGGTCAATACATTTTTACACAACTCTAACAATGATACTTTGATTACATATACATAATTTTTGTCTTCTGACGTGTAACTTAATAAACTTATTATGGGTACAAAACATTATTTTATATATCAATTTATACAATACTATTTTCCCAATTTATACTCGCCCTATACTATTTGGGGTTCTTCCACATTGATCTCTCTATCTTTAAACAATACTTTTCTATCTTAATGCTCCTTTAGCAGTTTCTCCAAAAATATATTTAAGCATCAATTTCATGTTACAATAAACTTATTGTATGTTCATTGACCCCTATAATATCACCAGTATTTTAGTATTTTAAATATTACTCATATTTCACCAAATTTATATCTCAGTTTTCTGTAATCACCAATAAAACAATTTATTAATGAAAAATCAATCCCAAAGTTATGTCTCTAAATCCGCTGAATTGTAATCCTTAAAGCTATCAATTCCAGTATGTTTTGCTGGCTATTAATCATATCAATATATTTAAATATGCCTAATCACAGTCTTCCTTTATTATCCTCTCAGTATTACAAAATATTATATCTCTATCCATCATCTCTCAGCCTTTTTTGAATTTCATCTTTTATTGATTTTTTGGTAATTCTTTTATATTTCTTTCTTGGTATCCTATATTTCTTTCTAGCATTTTTACATAATCTGAATGTTCCTTTCTTCTTGCTCCTTATCTCCTTCTGCTGCATCATTTGGATGCCTATCCATAATCTTTTTCTAATTTTTGAGAGGATTTCTTCTCCCCTGTGATGATTTGGCATAAAGTAAAGGCAGACAGCAAGGAGCTTGAATTAGAGGCTTGTGTTTATTCAGCAGCAGCCATCTTAAAACTACCTTCTGCCCCAGATGACATCATTAAAAAAGTTAACTGTTTCCTAATCTTTTTAAAGAGCTAGGCATAACAATTGAACTTGAAATATAGCATAAAAAACACACATCATTACATCTCTCTTCTTAAGTATAAAACATCTAAGATGATACCAAGTGTTTCCATATTTTTGGTTTAATAGCTCGACCATAGCGAGAGAAAGTTACCGCTGTCTGATCATCAGTAAAATTGCTGTCAGGTTGTGAGTCAGTCCCAGCATTGTCACATGCTGATATGCTTACATTATCCTTGGTGTTCTCGGTAGGCTGTATATCCGTGTTCAGGAATTCTGTGCCATCATGCGCTTGTGCCTCATTTTCCTTGTTGTTTTCTTTTTCCAACGCAGTATCAGCAGCAGTGTCTGGACGAAGATGACACCTGTTTCTTCTGAATTGCTGTCCACACTTGGTTTCAACTACATATGATTTTGGTGATTCTGGCAGGTTCCCATGTTCTCCCAGTGACTCTGTGTCTCACAGCTTGCCCGGCACACAGTGGAGGAAGAGGCTTGGTAGATTTATCAAAATACAGTTTTTGCTTTCTCATGTTTATGTTCCTCTGAGCTGTTACCCACTCATGTGTGATGGAACGAGGCTGCAAGTTATGTGGAGCAATAGGCACTGTAGCCCTCAGTGTTCTCTCTATTAGCAGCTGCGCCGGTAGGCATAAACCTTCAATGGGTGTTGCACAATAGTTTAATAGGTCTAAATACACATCGTGCCCTGATGATTGTGCTTTCTGTATAATGGACTTGGCTATGCCAACATACTTCTCTGATAGGCCATTGGCCTGTGGGTGATAAGGGCTTGTGGGTTTGTGCTTGATTCCCCATTCACGGAGGAAGCACTGGAATTCAGCACATGAGAATTGTGGCCCATTGTCAGACACAAGTTTCAAGACAATTCTTTCAAGACATGGAGTGTGTGAAGAACTTGTTCTTCACACACTCCATGTCTTGAAAGTATTGTCTTGAAAGCCCATATGACTGTTGACGCTTTTAGACTTCCCAACTCCACTAGTTCAAAGTATTTGCTGTAGTAGTCTACTATCATCAGGTAATGGATGACTTCAAAATGAAAAATATATGTAGCCAATCTCTGCCACACCCGTGAAGGAGCATTCCACGGTGAAAGAGGTTTTTTCACATTGTTTTTTTTGAAATGTCTGGCAGGTGTCACACTTCTTTACAAGTGTTTCAATATCAGAATCCAGATGAGGCCAGTAGACCACCTCCCGTGCTCTGCGCTTAACCAGAGTAATGCCCAAATGTCCCTGATGAATTTGTTCCATTATTTCTGCCTGCTGTGACTTAGGAATAAGAATACGGTCACCCATTATATGATATCCTCATGAATGGATAGTTCATCTTTCACAGGCCAGAATTCCTGCAGCTCAGGATACAACTTCTTGCGTTTTTCTGGCCAGCCATTGCACATGACACGAGTTAATTTCTCTAGTACTTTGTCCCGTTTGGTGTCTTGTCTTATTTTCTCCAGCCATGTCCCTTATTTTCTCTAAAATCTGATATTGGCATGTTCACTAGTACTGTATGTACCTGCTCTTCCAACTCGAGTTCATCCCTGGCTTCATGTCCTTCTGGAAAAACACCCTTGACAGGCAATATGCCATTGGAATTTCCTTCCCAGGCTTATACTTCACTGTGAGATCATACTACTGTAATTTCATAACCATTCGCTGCAAGTGTGGAGGTGTAGAAGCTAGCGTTTTTTGTAGTATGTACTCCAACAGCTTGTGGTCAGTTTCTACAACTACTGGGCGACCATATATGTACTGGTGAAATTTCTCACATCCATTCACAATGACCGGAATCTCTTTCTCAATTTGAGCATAATTAGCTTGTGTCGTGGTCAGTGCACGTGAAGCATATGCCACAAGATGTCCTTGTTGAGTCAATACAGCACCTAGCCCAAATTGGGATGCATCCACTTGAAGCACGGTGTCAACATTTGCGTCAAAGTATTTCAGTATTGGCCCGGGATGTTTAGTGATCAGTTTCTTCACTTTGTCAAAAGCCCTTTCCATGTTTGCATCCCAATAACCAAATGGCATCCTTC